AGTTTTCAACTTAGAGGTGGGTTATAGCTTGAAACAAAGTTCCCTTACATGACACTGTGAGTCTGTTTTCTTTGTTCCCTCCCTTGAGTTGGCAGTCACTGTCCCAGGAGTGCAATTCTGATGCTGATTGTATGGGGCTTTTTTGGGGGTTGGTGGTGGTTTGAGACAGGGTTTCTCTGTGGCTTTGGAGGCTATTCTGGCACTCACTCTGTAGACCAGGCTGGTCTCGAACTCACAGAGATCCTCCTGCCTCTGCCTCCCGAGTGCTGGGATTAAAGGCATGTGCCACCACTATCTGGCCGTACGGGGCTTTTTAACCAGTATAGGAGGGCGGTGAGTTTACATTGTTGTATGTGTCAATTCAAAGAAACTCCAATTTGGTGACATTTTTACTCAGGCAATAATAAATGAGTGTTTATTTTTCTTCCTCCTGTTGTTAATTTTTTAGGCAGAAGTCATTTGAACAATAGTTTGTAAGTTTCTGACTGTGACTTTTCTGAACTAATTTTACTATCTTTTCAATTTAGTATAAAGAAACAAAATATCTTGAGTCAACTCTTTTTTGGGGTAGGTGCTGAACTCAGACCCTCATGCATTTTGAATGAGCAACAGAACTACAGCCCTAGGGCTCCCCATTTTCTTTTTAGATAAATACTTTAAGAGTGATTTAAGAATTGCTTTTATATCTACTATCTATATACTTAGAGTTGACATTGTTGGCAAAGTTGGCTGAAGACTCCTGGGGTAGCTGCTGTGTACCGTGAAGGGTAGAATGTACTCTGTACCCTGAGACCTGACTCCCCTGTGAGAGATGGCCGGCCACTCAAGTGACTTGGGGAATGAGTGGGCATGGGAATAATGGAACCTGGACAAAAAAATTTCTTGCTGATCATCTGAAATAAATCACTTTGATCACACATTTAAAATGTTTTCCTTGTGACAGAAGTTCATATGTCACAGCTTCTATAAGGCAGTTTCTGCAAAAGATGAGTTAGGCATGAGGATTTGGATAAACCGTTATGTCCCTGTAAACACTGTTCATGAAGATTCCAGGTAAAAGAAGACAGAGACAATCAAATGCTTCCCTCATCAAAAACACTTAACATATGTAAAATATGACCAGTTCTACTTTGTCGTAGGAAATGTAGCAAAAAGATGTTTATTGTTTAGTTTTTCTGTCTTTATGCCAAGTCTCTAGCCATGATTAAAAAAATCCCCTAGTCTATTAGTAAACCATTAAAAAACGAGAGCCCACTGGCTTTTCAGTGGCCTGCCCATTTATTGAAATGTTCTTCAACAGTGGGAAGATTTAAACTTCTGCCCATTTCCTGGGGCAGCCTCAGCAGGGTGCTCTTAGCTCCTCATGGTCCTGTCAGAGCTCTCTGAATACACTGGATGCTTTCATGGGACTGAGGACAGAACAATAGTTGCTAAACTAGTGACTAAAAAGAAATCGGTTATTTTGTCAGTAATAAATAATATAATTTCTTCAATGGCATAGCACTTCCTGAATGAACCCCAATTCTTCGGCTTGAACCTCTATTAATTTGACTGAGTCATTTGGCCTTCTTGGGCCTTTGTTTTCTCCTTTACTGAATGGGAACAGAAGGGACGAGACTGTGGGTAAAGCATGTGTGCAGGTCTGCTAGATTCCCCTCAGTTCATCATTCATTCTGTCCCATGTGTCTCTCCATGCTGTGGAAGTCTCCTGATTGGTGGGAGACTTGCCATTGCTTCAGCAACTAACAGTGCTCATATTTGTGGTCAAGAATAATGATCCTCCCTTGACATTCTTTTAACAATTCTGGGCAATGTCATCTAGTCTCAGAGATTGAGTGAGTAAGGTCAGTAAGGTCTAAAAATGTGATTTACCACTTATGATGCTAAAACACACACTGTGGTGAGGCTGTGTTACCTCCGTGAGTGTCCTTGACCCCAGCTCTAGATGTTGTGCTGAAGCTGAGCTGCCCTAGGGAAGCAACCAGCATTTCAGGATCACCCTGGGTACTATAAATGCTAGATTTAGGGTAAGCATCAAGTAGGGAATTAAGTCAGGAAGACAGAACAATCAAGTCACTCACTTCCAAGGAGAAATGCAGTTTGGTGACAAGGATGACCAGATTTAGGGACTGTGGTGGTTTAAATGAGATGCCCCCCATAAGTCTTGGGGATATGAATATCCAAGTTTATGGCTGATTGGTGAGACCATGATGGAGGAAGTCTGTCACTGGGGTGGGCTCTGAGGCTTCAGAAGACTCTCATGGTTTAGAGTTAGCGCTCTCTGCCTCCTGCTCAAGGTTCAGGATGTAAGTCTCAGCTGTTCCTGCTGCTTGCTACTTTTGCTCTGCCATCTGGGTTCTAACCCTCTACAGCCATAACCCCAAGTAAACTTTCTTCTCTAAGCTGCCTTGACTATGGTGTTTATCTCAATAGAAAAGTAGCTAACACAGGGATGGAATGTCTCCAGTACTCAGACTGGAATGGGGAGGACAAGGAATCCCGTACAGCTCTGGAGCCCACGGCCAAGTGCCTTCTTGTTTAGGTGCACATTGTAAACTCTTGGTTTTCCAGAATGGATGCTTTTCCTTGAGCTCCTTAGAGTCTTCTGACAGATACTTCATCCCCATCTAAAGGGAAATGCCTCAATAACTATTTCTCACGCCAAACCCATTTTCTCCAATGTCTGCATTCTCATGGGTGAGCTTTGCTACTGTGACGCCCCTCCCCACCTGCTCACCTCTGAGGCTCTGCCACGCCAGTCACCTCATTAAATCTACAACTCTCTTCTCTCAACAACTTCCCCTGACACTTGGCTGGTTTCTCTGAGATGCTCTGCTTTGTGTCAGAATGATTTGTACATGTCTTATTTTGCTCATCACCTGCAAGCCTCACGAAGAGAGAACACTTGGCGTTCCAGACATCCTAACTATGTCCCTTTACGTTCTCACTGTTAAACAAAGTCACAATTACATGATCCAGTCACACAGCAGCTTCTCTATGAGGAAGCGCTACTGGCTGTTGCTTCTTCAGGTAGACTTTCCTATCTTCTTGGGTGCTGACCGTCTTCTAAGGCAACAGTCATTTATCTCTGCAGAAAATATCATTACTGCATCTTCCTCTGCAAGCTCCCTGTTACCTTGTGAGTGGCTGAGGCCCTTCACATGGCTCCATGGCTTCAGTCTGCAGTCACTCAGAAGAGCATCTCTATCGTGTTTTCCCTGTCCTGGTGAAGGCTGGCAGTCCCCTGTATTTCCTACAGTATAAAGCCACTGGGTTCAGTTTGTGATTGTTCCTCCCAATGTCACCTGCCCTCAGGCTGCAGCCCACCTCTGAGTCTCTCAGTTATGTTTCCTCCTGGGGAAACAATTCTGTGTTCCACTTGCCTTCCGCTTTCAGCCCTATTGGCTCTGGCTGCTGGAGAGATGACATTGTCCTCTTCCTCTCTATTCAATCTCTCCTGGGCACTCATGTTCAGAGTTAGTGTCAATTCAGATCTCAGCCTTTAAAAATGACATTGCAATCTAGTTGACAGCGAGGACTTTAAATTGCTTTTGCATTTCTCCAGCTGTGCTCAAGGCTGCTCATGGGTTTTTTTTTTTTTTTTTTTTTTTTTTTGCCAGCGCTACATATGCACAGGCTTCCCCAAGCCAGGGGCCAGTCTTGGGTAGGAAGAACCTTCCTCTCTGGAAGGAGACCGAGCCCTCAGGTTTCTCAGGATTGGAAAGATGGAACACTGACTCAACTTGGGGCTGTAATCGAAAAGGAAAGTGGAGCTAGTCTTTGAATAAGTAGATGGAGTGTAAAGTGATTCTGGAGTACAAAACATGTGCCTGGACCCACCGACCCTATGTCCCTCAGATACCTAGCAAATGGCAGGAACAGAAACACAGAGGATTATCAAACTACACCAAAGATCACATTGAGTCATTCAACAGGAAAAAAGGACACGTTAATGAGACACATACTAGCTCTACTGGTAAAAGGGCAGACCACTAAATTTCACCAGGAAGAAAGGGTTGCATCCTGTAGGTACTGCTATAATGAGAGCGCTATAATTGGTCTAGCTGAACATTTTGTAATGACTTCAAGCATGAAATCTATTATTTAATCAAAAACATTATGATTAACAATTAGCAGCATTATGTCCAAAAAGGGAATCAATAATTTGGGCCGCATTGTAAGCACAGAACTTTGTACCTAGTTGTGGGAAGGACAATGATGACTGGAAGCTCTGGATTGGGGTGGCAGGCCCCCACCTATGGAAGCATACACAGTGTAAAATGAATTATTGCTACTGTGGAATAACTGCCAACTAGCAGTTTAAAGGACTGGGTTAATCAGACACAGGGAAATTTCTAATTAATTGGACAACTACTTCCAATTCTGAACGAGCCAAGGCAATGATAGAGAGATATCCTGATGAACTGGGAATAAATTCAATAGCCTGAGGCAGCATTTTTAAAACTTTTAAAAAAAAACTATTTCTTTTTTCTTTTCTCTTCTTCCTTCCTTAAAGATTTATTTATTATGTATACAGTGTTCTGTCTGCATGTGTTCCTGCAGGCCAGAAGGGGGCACCAGATTTCATTACGGATGGTTGTGAGCCATCATGTGGTTGCTGGGAATTGAGCTCAGGACCTCTGGAAGAGCAGCCAGTGCTCTTAACCTCTGAGCCATCTCCCCAGCCCCCCATTTTTTAAACTTGCAAGTGTTAAAATAAACTGGGATTGGGAGCCCAATTTTTATAGTCTCATGTTCCCAAATGTTTAGGGACTGTAACTATTCTTTAAGGCCAAACTCACTCAAAATTATTTTGGTTTTGAATAATTGTCAGTCTCATGAAATAATTGTGGATACAAGAACATGGCAAAATGAAAATTCAGGGATTAGCAGGAATGGCCATCATGCTTCACAGACTGACCCAGGTCCCTAGATAAGGCAGCACACAGCACGACACATGCCCTCAGCTCTCTCCCGAGAGTCTCAAGGCGCAGCCTCACCTGGTGGGTGCATGTTTCTGTTCTTCCTCCTCATCTGTGTCACTGCTGATGGTGATGACACTGACTGTGGGGCTAGGGGTGTCAGGGATGACAATCGTCTGCCGCTGCCGCTCTCGGGTGGTGCTGGAGGCCGCGTCACCCCACCCACAGGTGACTGAGGTGCTGCAGGCTGGGCTGCTGTGCACCATGGCACACCGTGGGGGAGTGTTCTCCTTGACACGCTTGGATCGCTGAGGGGAGCTGGTCGACTGGGAAGAGGTCACTTCACAGGTGGAGACATTTCTGTAAAGACAAAGCAACACACACTACATCTCCATCCAACTTTCAGAAAACACCACATTCACCAAATAGCCACAGAAAAAAGTCTGAAGCCCAGACCAGTTGGTCTCCATCTGTGACAGAAAATGTGGCGCCTCTAGAGGCCTTCAGTTAGTCACTACAGGACCTTCTCTGGGCTCTGGTTTGGGCACATATATCTGTTCTTGAGAGTTGGTCTTCTAGGGGCAGCTGTCCTGATCAGGATTTTAGTTACTTCATCCAACAAGGCCACATAGGATAATCTTCAGGATTAAACCCCAGCTTTTGGCTTCATCTAGTCCTCCCTCAATGGTCAGCTGTCCATCTTGTTTTTTCCAACAGAGCCTCTCACTGACCAGAGCTCACTGATTTAGCTGGTTGCCCAAGTTTCCCAGGATCAGCCTGTCTCTGACCCCTCCCCCCAGTACTTGAATTACAGGTGTGCACTGCTGTACTCAACTTTGTGTGCAGGGTCTAGGGACTGAACTTAGGTCCTGATGGTTGTGTGGCAAGCATTTACAGATAGAATGATCTCTTAGCCCCTTGGCTCAGCTTTCCCTTTTTTCTCTTCTGGGAAAAGCTATGGCCATTCAGATTTGTGTACAATGGAAAATAAAACAAAACCTTTTTAGATTTTGACCTGAGCCTCATGGAAGGCTTATCAATTAATTTGAATTGTAATAAAAAACTGGGACAAATACAAGAGGAACAAAGTATACTTTAAAAGCTTTAAAAAGTTGTGGATAAGCCAAATCTGACTATTGTAGTACAGTTCTAACTCTCTTAAAATTTTAGTTTTAGATTTATTCGTTATTTTGTGTGTATGCCTGGTGCCCTAGGAGGTCATAAGAGGGTGTCAGATCCTCTGGGACTGGAGTTACAGATGGTTATGAGCTGCCATGGGAGTTCTGGGAATCAAACCTGAGTCCTCTAGAAGAGCAGTCAGTGCTCTCAACTGGTAATCCATCTCTCCAGCCCATCAAAAGGAACTTTTTAATTTGGATTGATTGACCTGAAATTCTATATTAGTTCTGGTAACTTTAGGGAACAATTACCTTCGTTTCTTCCCATCAAACCCTTTGCTGATCCTGGCTAGGACCTATACAGTGAAGATCAAAGTCAAAAGAGAATGAATCTCCTTAGAGAGTCTAGTACCTTCTTAGTGAAGAGATGGAAGTACAATGAGGATAGTTTAGTAAAGGTGACTTTGGTTTTGTCTGTAGCTGGCATCAATCAGTTGTACTTATAAAGTCCTCTCTGGAGCTGGTAGTGAGGCTTTCTGGTTAGACTTTCTTTTATTCTGTTATGCATGTTATAGCTTTTACGGCTTACTCAGCACTGCTACAGGAGAAAGCATGTCTGCTGCATTACTACACAGGGGTGGCCTTCAGTGTGGATTCTCACAGTTTCAAAAAGAAGCAAATGTGTCACATGTGGTGCACACCTCTAATGCATTACTCAGGAGGCAGAGGCAGGATGATCTCTGTAAATCTGAAGCCAGGATTCATCTACATAGTGAGTTCTAGGCCAGCCAGAGCTTCAAAGTGAGACCCTGTCTCAAAACAACAATAATAAAGAGAATCGAGGAGATGACTTGCGCAGGGACTGTGTTGGTTTTGCCACGCCATGAGCAGTGTGCTCACCTGAAGCAGCTGGGTGCCAAGAAGACGAGAAGACGGGCAGGGCAGGGGTTTGCTGAACTGGCTGTGGGGCCAGGGTCCTGACTATGGTCACAAGGATGCTAAGCTCAGGTCTGTCTGGCGCCTGGTGCCTGGCTGGTCCTGATGGAGCACGGAGATCAAAGCAGTGGTTTCTGCTACCTCCAGTGACATTGGCATGTTGTCACAGGCTGCCACACAAAAGCATTCTGGGGAGCTGCCACTGATCTAAGCAGAATTCCCTTGTGTTCTCAGAAATACCCTAACAAGGGATTATGAAGAAGGACGCCAGCTTGAGGGAACTCAGCCCTTGCTTGAATTAATTTTCGAATGAGAATGAAAAGACAGATCTAGCTTCTGGCACCTGGATATATGAGGAAGAAGGGGGAAAAAAAAGGAAAGAAAACAAAACAAAATTCTCTAGTGTGATGGATAGACTTGACACACTGGGGAAGAGGAACCTCAGAAAAATGTGTCCATCAGGTTGGCCTGTGGGGAGTTTTTCTTGATTGCTAATTGATCTGAGAAGGCCCAGCTCACTGTGGGTGGTACCATCTCTATGCAGGTGGGCCTGCACTGCATAAGAAAGGCAGTTAAGCATGGGTTTGGGAGCAAACCAGTAAGCAGTGCTCATCCATGGCCTCTGCTTTTAATTCCAGCCTTCTCTCTGGATGATGGACTATATCCTGTAAGATGAAATAAACCCTTTCCTTTCCAAGTTGTTTTTGTTCAGTCTTTTTATCACAGAAACAGAAAAGCAAATGAGAACAACTAGACTTCTTATGTACCCAATTTCTCATGTTCAATGCACCCCAAATAAACAAATATGTGCATCTCTGTCACTGCCACGGGCCTTGTGGGAGCAACTCTAAATCTATTTGGCCAGCGATAGGTGTGGCGATTGCTCTTGTTTATTTTTAGAAGCCTCTTTTTTAAAGTCAGGCCCATTGAACTCTACAGTTGATACTATATATACTATATACTCTAAAACCCTGCCTTCTCAAGTGTCTGAGTTATTGACAAATACATGGTTACAAACTCCACCTACAACCCAGATATGAAGCTCTTTTCGCTCCTTCCCAGGAATTCCCTTCTTCGGGGCCAGTCTCTGGTGCTGCTAATTTATCTCTGTTTGCCTTCATCAAAGTGACATGTAGACATGGAGCCTTGTGTCACTCTTAATGGTTTAAGAGTTCAGGGGAATGGGAAAGCTTAGCAGTCTACTGTTAAGCATCTGGGAGTCACCAAAGTTATATTTAAGCAATCAGCCAAATGTGTTCATGTGGAAGCAGCTCCGTAGTTTCATGACCTAGATCTAACTTGCTAGCTGTAGAGCTTATTTTTGAGTTATGAGTTATATTTCTGACCTCAAATATTAAGGAAAATGCATGTTTTCTAGTGTTTTTGAAAAAGATATCTCTGTAATTTGTATTCAAATGGAGACACAGAGGCCTGTTGTTTCTAGAAAAGACGACAGAGATTGTGTGGCCAACTTTAACCACACTTTGATCCTCCTCAACTGTGCCCTTCTGTATAAAGTCTAGTTTCAGCTAAGAGGGACAGGAACTAGGAAGAGCCAAGAGACAGGGTTGCAGCTGCACAGAACCTAGAGAGAATGCTTTCAGCAAACCCTGGAGTATTCCACGTACCATAAAATGTTCCCTCAGTTCCTGTAGGAAGAGCTGCTCTCTGCACCACGCCAGGGTAGTGCACCAGCAATCCTACTTCCAAGCAGTGTTTAACATTTCAATCTTCTAGTGTTTCTGGCCACCAAAGCTCTCAGCACCTACCTCACAGATGACTGGTGCTGCTTACTCTTCCTGGAGGAGGTGGTGCTGGTTGGTTGCTGCCTCATCACATGGGCTACACCCACATTTAAGGGCTGGGCTGCTGGAAGGGTCACGTGTCCAGTCAAGAGTGTAGGCTGCTGCATGATGGGATTGTAATGGCTTCCATGAGCATGTGTGTTTCTGAAAGAGAAGAGGGAGCAGAAGGCCCCTGAGTGGTTTTTATAGAAGCTGAGCTCTTTAATAAGATGACTTCTCTCCCAGATAAAGAGAGGCTTTACTGTTGTTCTCTCTCACTCAGCTGTGAGGTGCCAGGTGAGCTGACATGTGGGCTTCCCACACTGTAGAATGGGAGTCCTGTGCTGAGGAGTAGGAGAAATCGGGCTGCTTGATGAGAACCAGGACTTTCAAGGGGAAAGAATGGCAAGTTCTAGAGAGATGGGATAAATAGCTCCCCCAGCTATTTACCCTGGACAGGTAACTATGCTGAACATTAATATGAGCATTTTGTTTTAGACTTTGCATAGCAACTTCAATGGGCTCTTTTATTCTGCTTTGTGAAGTGGGTAGGATGTCTTAGAAATACCATTTTATTAATGAGGGAACTGTAGTGAATGTGAAAACAGACTGGTGACTGGGAGCCATATGTTCCCGGCATTAGGAATCATTAATGTTCTTTTGAATTCCCCCAGTAGCTAACACAATGCCCAGGCATGTAGCAGCTGATCAGTTAATTACACGCTTGCTGAATGAACAATTAGGTTAACTGAAGGGTGACTAGACATGGACAGAGTTTGTATTAAATCAAAATTAATACACAGCAGAGAGAGCGATGCTGGCAGCCTGCACCCTGGAAATGGGTTACATTTTAAAGTCTCACCATCTAGGCTGGATGGTGCATAAAGCCTTGTTTTCCAACAGAAACTTTTAAAGTGATTAATTCCAAGACTTGTCCAAAAAAGCCCATTTAACACACAATAAAATTAAAAGCCAAGGAATCATTTAAACTTAAAAAGAAATGAAATTCCATCTTTGTAACTTGAAGGGATAAATTAGAGAAAAAGATGAGCATTTTGTAGTAACTGTGATTGTCTTTTAGACATGTATATGGCCTTGGGAAATGGTTGTGGTGACTTCTTTCTGCTGTTTATTTCCCCACAGACAGGCCTTTTCTCTTGGAAACAAGGGCAGCACTGGTGCTCCTCTTTTGTTTTCTGGCCATGGTTATGGATGCTCTTGGGCCCACAGTGAAATGCAGAGAGTGGGAATGTATGGAGATCACCAGTTAAGAGATGGAGAGAGCTGAAGAAGGCATGGACAAGTGTATGAATATTGCAGAGATTGAGCTCTAACTGCTAAAGGACAAAGGAAAATACGACGTGGGGGTGGTGACAGTGTCTTTCGGGAGAATAAGGGGGAGGGGAACCCAACGCAGGTCACATAGCTTTCCACTTGGCTGCTACTCCTAATGAGCTTGACGAAAGGCAAGTGTGAGCTGCCCTGAATGGGTGAAGGGAAGATGCCAAGCTTATTCATTCTGCTATGCTCAGGCTCTGCTAGACCGAGTGTTAAAGGGGGGCAAGTGCTTTGTGTTTCATTTCAGTTGACACACTCCTCCCCTCCACCCCCACCCCACAATCCTGTGCGATGAGCATCATGACCCCACTTTATTGAAAAGAAAACTGAGGCCACAGAAGTTAAATAACTTGCCCCAGGTCTTGCAGAGCCAGAACAGAAACCAGTTTCGCCTGGTTTGAAAGTGCTTCCATTGAGGGCAGACGGCAGCCATGGGGACGGCCCATGTGTTCTCCCCCTGCCAGTAGTCAGAAGTAGTTTTACATGGAGAAGGAAAAGGCTGCAGTAGACATGATTCAGGGGACTGACTTAGCCACCTGCCTACCTTTTCCTGAGAGTTATTTACTTATTTACACAGAGTTTCACTATGTAACTCAGGCTGGCCTCAAATTCGTAATCCTCTGCCTTAGCCTATGTGCCAAGATTTCAAATATATACTACCACATTCAACCCAAGAGCTCTATGCTCAGAAAAGGAACTAGGGGGACCCTCAGGATAGTATACAGACTACCAGAGGGGAGCAGGGAGTAATTTCTGTGGAAGAAGAAACAGCCCAAAGAGGCCACAGAGCTGGGGAGAATTTGAGGGCTGTCAGATGGCTCTGTACTGGTCAAGGAGGGCATTGTGATGGTGTTGGGATAAGTACCAGAGGAAAAGTGACAGGTGCTTATGAGAACAGCAGAGCAGGGTGTCCATGAGGGAGTCAGTGAGCTGCATGGACAGTTTTGGAAACAGATGCAGGGTACTGGCAGGCAGTGGCTAGAGTCCCTGGGGTCTGCAGGAGGGTGAACTCTTCTCCGTAAGACACGCTGGTAACTGAAGAGGCACATCTAACAAACATGTTGGAGCTTCTCCTTCAGAATACACCTCATCTGTCAAGCCTTCCCTGGGGAGCTCAGACAGACAGGCATCTGTGTCTCAAAACTTCATGAGAACCCTTTCGAGAATTGCTTAGGGCTCTGGGGACTCTTCTGTATTCCTTCACTGGTGACGAATGCTTGCTTTCTGAAAGGAGCTTAATTCTCAGAAAAACTCAGCCAGGTCTGGTGAGTCGCACAGTGGGTGGTTACAAGATATAACTGAGCTTTGTGTAGAAAATGACAGTAACTATAAATTGATCAGCTAAATCTTTGGTACCCTGGTATATTGTTTAAACCACCTCCCATTACACTGTGGTCATAGCCCATGTGATGTTCTCTGTCAGTGGTGGACAAAACTCCCATCTCAGAAAACACTTGCTCGACACAGAAGGGTTTCCTGTTTACCTCCAGTCAGCCAGTTGCTGAGTGCCTGCCATGGTCTCAGGGATCACAGCTGCATGCTGCACCGATGTGTGGGTGGCCACGCCAGTCAGCTGCTGCCAGGCTGGAGGAAGCAGGATCTGTTGGGCCCCACCTGGCCAGGCCTGCTGTAAGACAGAGGATATTCACAATCATCGCATTTTGTTAATCACCTAGTTGATTTGTACAAGTCTAGAGCTTACTCTGTGAGTGCACTGTGCTAGATCGTGTAATGCGTGTGAGAGTATGAAGTGGCTGTTGGCTTCGAAAAACCGAGAGAGAGCTGGAGAGATGGCTCAGTGGTTTAGAGCACTGACTAGTCTTCCATTGGACCTGGGTTCAATTCCCGGCAACCACATGGTGGATCACAACAATCTATAATGAGATCTACTGCCCTCTTCTGGCCTGCAGGAATACATTCAGGAAGAACACTGTATACATAATAATTAAATAAAATCTTAAAAAAAGAAATAAAGTAAATAAATTACACACACACACCCTAGAAAGACAACAGGTGAATAGGTATAGCGCTACAGAGATATTTGGATGGAATTTATTCATCTTAAAGATGGCTTCTTAATGAATTTGCTCTATTGAACAATGCTTGAAGTTCTATAAAACTCCATCTACTGACTTGTTCTGTAAACTATGTGCAAAAGACTGAGCTAATTTAACTGGGTCAGATGGGGACAGCTCTTTGCCCTCAGGAAGCCTTCTATCTAATGTCCTAGATTTGATACTTGACTTTTGTTCATCAGTTAGCATGTAGAGTCTCACCTTCTGAATTTAATTCCCACTCTATATAACTTGGAGACCACTGACTATCTGGTGTTGACCTTCACCTGTGAGAAAGTGGTATAAAATAATGAACTTGCTGTGACTTTCAGCTTAAATGACAAACACTTCAATTCCTTAAAGCATGCAGGAACTAGTAGAAGACTAGTAGGAACTCAGCACTCGCTTCCATCTTCACAATATGGAAGAACGTTCTGCTCTCCCTTTAATGACTAATTGACAGGCGTGCACATGTGCAGTGTGCTTTAGGCTCTCTGTGCCTCCTTCTCTTCTCTGCTTTTTTGGGTCATTCAGTGATTTTCATTGAACACAGCTGTCCAAAGGTGGACACCTAAAGGACCACCACTCAGGTGAAATGCTTCCTGGAGGGGTAAAGGACCTAGGGTGTTGTGGAATATGTGTAGAGATGTGTCACTGTGATTGGTTTAATAAAAAGCTAAACATCCAATAGCTGGGCAGGAGGAGTAGGTGGGACCTCTGGAGCTCTGGGAAGAAAAAAGGGAGGCAGAGGAAGTAGGACACGTGGGAGGAGAGGTAAAAGCCATGAGCTTCGTGGCATCACATAGAAGAATAGAAATGGGTTAATTTAAGTTATAAGAGCTAGTTAGAAACAAGTCTAAACTAACGTGAGCTTTCATAATTAACAAGTCTCCGTGTTGTTATTTGGAAGCTGGCTGGTGGACAGAAAAAGACTCGTTATACAAAGGGATTGATTTCCCAGTTATATTTCTCTCTGTCTATGAAGCCAAACATGACTAACATATATCTAACATTTTCTAGCTCAGGGCTCCACTGATTGGGCATGTGTTTTAATATGTATGTTTTGACTCCTGTATCAATAAACATTTCTGTAAAGGACTACATTTTAAGTCAAGACTTCATAAGCATTACAGAAGCATATTTCAGATCTGACCCATTTTCTGTCCCATCCTTCTCAGGTTAATTGGTGTTGCCTGTGAGATCTCATGCACATTTGGTACTGTTTGCTTGCTTGCTGATCTGTGGTGATAGAGGTAGAAAGCTCAGAGACCACTGATCATACCATAGTGCTTTATGTCAGCTGACAAAGTGAAAGAAGCAATTCTACAAGTTTACTAACTATAGCTAACTGTATTTCAAGCCCACTGATTTCACAGAGGGGAAATATAACTTAACTGGTAAATCCACTGTAAACTCAAAATATTGAATGAGCCAGATGTGGTGGTGCACACCTTTAGTCCCAGGACTCAGGAGGCAGAAACAGGTGGTTCTCTGTGAGTTCAAGGCCAGCTTGGTCTACATAGCTAGTTCTAGGCAAGTCAAGGTTCATGTCAAGACTCTGTATTAGAACAAACAAAACAAAAGAAAATAGTTTCAACGTCAGTTAAGATTTTTACTGCTTACTGATCTGGAACTCATTTCCAATTCTATGAAAAGCATGAGTTTTTGACTAATGTCATTTAAAAAATGTATCTTGATATCCAGATAGAGTTTCCTTGAATTTTACCTCAAAGCCATAAGAAAAAAGGCTTCTTTTTTTTTTTTTTACTATTTTTAAACCTTTTTCATTGATTGTGAAAGTGATGCTGACAAATACAATCAGCTCATTTAGATGACATTACGTCAAGTATCTATAATTTATTACTACTACTAAGAATAGAACTCACATTTCTTTTAAAAATAATAATAATAATAATAATTATTATTATTATTATTGTGTGTGTGTCTGTGACATGTGAGTGCATGCATGCATTCAGAGGTTCTGGAGACAATTTTTGGGAGTCTCTTATTTTGTGATTCAGGAACTGAATTCAGGTCATCAGGCTTTCAAGGAAAGCACTTTTAACTGTTGGGCCATATTGCTGTCCCCTCCCCTTTTTGGGACAGAATCTTGCTTTGTATCCCAGACAGCATTTGAGCTCAAGATGGTCCTTGCCTCAGTCTACCAAGTACAGGAATTATGAGTACATACCACTATGCTTAGCTGGAGCTAATATTTCTTGATCCATGTTGTGTGTCAATCAGTGTTTAGTCATAAATAGATTTTCAAACTTAATATTGGTCCTATGAGGTAAGGACTACTATTCCCATTTCTTAGGTGAATAAACTAAGATGGAGAGGTTAAATGATTTGCTTAGAAAATATGGCAAATTATTTATTGTTTTCTCTGAACCTAACATGACAGGGAAGAAATAAAATATAAATAGATCCATAGAAGCAAAGACAGTGGAGGACAGACGGCAACAGTTAAGATTTGAAAGGTGGAACAACAGTCAGTTGCCAAGGAAGTTAGCATAGTGAGTTATTCCAAGGTAAATCTGCATGTGAAACCTGGCCAGATCCCTGGTATGCAGGTGTCTACTGGCCTCAGAGCCAGAGGGGTGATTCTCCAGGGAGTGCTACAGGTGTGACGTTTGAGGATAAGGGGTCTGCCAGTGAAAACGCTGGGCTTGCTTCTAACACTCCACAGGGAAGCCCACATTCAGGAGCCCATCCCTTGTCAGCTTTCTCAGCGTGCTGAGCAGTTTCATGTTCCGGTCTCAACTACCCATGGACAGATAAAGGCAGCCTTTAGAAAGCATCTACTGGGAAGAGATCAAAGCAAAAATCAAATGAAACTCATATGAAACAAAAGCAATATAGGAAACAAAAATTCCAGAGATCTATAATTGTCTTTAATATCCAGTTTAAAAAATATGTATCTTACTTTATATAAATATGTACATATGGAACAAGATAAGGAGCTCCCAGAAAGGAGAACAATGGCAACAGAAACGGAGAAGCAAACAGAAAATTTCAAAGAAATTTCTCAGAAAGTAGTCTGTCTGTCTGTCTGTCTCTCTGTCACACACACACAGAGGGAAATATAAGAAATGCTGAGAGATTAACTTGGAAGTATAAACATCCAGGCTGGGGAGATGGCTCAGTGGGTAAAGCGTTTCCATCAAAGTGTGAGGATCAGAGTTTGGATACCCAGCACCCATATAAATGCCAGGCCCTCCTGCAATCCCTGTGTTTGGGAGGTGAACAACGATTTCTGTAGCAAACTATAAAGCTAGACTACACTAGCAAGAAAGGTCTAGATTCACATGAGAGACCCTGCCTCAATATATAATAGAACCTGGGACCATCAGGCCAGGCATGGCAATATCCATAATGGGTTGGGCTCTTCCCCATCAATCATTAATTAAGAAAATGACCTACAGGCTTGCCTACAGCCTGATTTTTTTATAAAGACAATTTCTCAGTTGAGGTTTCCTCATTTCAGATGACTCTAGCTTGTGTCAATTTGACACAAAACTAGCCAGTACGTATGTGCACCCATACCCACCCACCATTAATATTTATGCATCAACACACGTACACATCACATACACAAAACATAGAAGTAACAATATCCAATTAATAAGAATTTTGCAAAGAAAATATTGTTCAAAGGACAAACAACAAAACTCGGACTAAAGGGCAAACAGGGAATACGGGACAAGGTATGGAAAACAAGAAAGCATTTATCTTGAGACAACTGTGGACAAGAAGACTGTCTAAAAGGTTTCATAGAAACAAATAATATACGGAACTCAATATATCCAAACCTGAGCATGTCAAACACAGAAAACTCTTACAGCTTTAGAATGACCTGAGACAGAAGAATAAGATACACAGAGATAAATAACCCAGTGGGAAAATGAGGCAGCTATTAACTCTAGGGAAAACAAGAAGCCATACAAGGAAGGAAATACAATCAGTGTGTTATGAAGCTCATCAGGAGCAATGCTCTAAGATGGACCATAATCATACGGAAAGTGTAAAAGTTGAAGCACAACTTACTTGGGAAGAAGGGGAGGATGAAAGAGTGAAGGGAGAGACTGGTGGCAGCAGGAATGGGTTGGAGAGCTAAGGTTTCATTATACAAATAGGAAGTCAGCTTATAGTAAAAAAAATGGAGGAATCAACTGAAAAGCACTCTAGAATATTATATGGATTCATATAAGACTGGTCAAATTAAAGGTTGTTTGGGGATAGGAGAAATTAAAGGTGGTATAGAGAGAGGACTATATTTCTTAGTAAATGTGTGGTGTCATATAAGTTAAAAAAATTCTGTACCATATTATTTTGAAAAAGGATGAAATTTAAATGTCCAAAACCACACCCCCAAAGGCAGCCAGTAAGTGGTGCATCGGGTGTGCACACAGATGACCTCAGCCAATATCCAAACATACTTTATGGAGAACACAAACATGGCAGCCCTTTTTGGAATCTGGTGTGGGTGTTAAATACACAAAGGTGGCATGACGAACCTTCCTTATCTGTTAGCAGCTTCAGTGCCAAGTGAGGTAGAAGTCAACAGTAAGATAATGGCTGCAAAGACTGGCTGCTGAAAACGCCGTCAGTGGAGGGTTAGCATGAGAAGCAATGGGTTTTGGTAGAGTGGACAGTTTAAAGTCACCTATCCTCAGGGAAATACAGGAACCTTGGTCAAATGACTCAATTGGTCAAGAATGCAAATCCTCTTCACTGCAAGTAGAGTCTAGTAGGACCTGTCATTTCTGACTTGATCTTGTTAGTGAGAGGGAGTTTTGGATCCTGGTCCTTGAAAAAATGAGTTAAATATAATCCGATCCCACTCAGAACTGGATCTCCCATCTACCCACTTTTACCTGCTCCCTCCCTCACAGTTTCTCTTGTAGCCAACATGCTAACTGCAGCTCTAGGCTTCAGACAGTGGAGGTCATAGACCTTTCAGGAAGTATCAAGAGTTTCCTTTAGAAGGGGTTTCTGTAAAGGTCACTCCTGTGTTGCTAACTGTGTCTTTTGCCATGCACACATCTTCGAGGTGTGCCAGAGGCTTATTTCTCTGTAGGGACATACACTGCTGCTGGGGATGGAGAGAAAGAGAGGAAAGAAAATTAAACAAACACAGGAATACATATAAAGGGTCCATCTCTAAACTTTCACAAAGTTCTCAAAAGGTTTTAAATGCTCAGAAGAAAACTATCAAATTTGGGGATACATTTAAAAGCACATAACATAATAGTATTTAGAAATCTTGTGCCTGGTAACCTAGAAATCTACTCAACAGAAAAACGAAAACCCAAATTTCAATAGTTATTACTTTAAAAATAGCTACCACTTCATTTTGTAAGTTACTGTGTTTTTTTTACATGCTCCTTGTAAAGGATAAAAACACAGACTAGAGCACACTGGGACAGATTAAATGACAAACAGAAGAAACAGGAAAGGTAGTCAGCCATAAGCCAGTGTAATACTAGATGGGACATGTACATTTTTAAAATAAGAAATGTGTCGTTGCATTCGAAGACATACAGGTCGACTATGTCCATGTTAGTGGGTATGTGCTTTCCCACTGTACGAAGTCACCTGTTGAGTCAACAAATTCCCCAGTGAGGAATACTCAACTTGCTTCTAATGGTTCCTTTTTATAAACACTATAACAATTAAAATCCTATACACACATATTTTTTGTTGTTGTCCAGTTTTCCAATTATAGATTTAGGTTAAATCAACGTGAAGGTTTACAACACTAGAAACTCTTTTCAAGTAAGCAGGAGGGAGGACTCTTCCCACCATGATTAAAGGACTGAGACAAATTGAGAAATGCTGAGCCTGTTGGTTCCACTCCACTGAACAATGAAGAAGGAATTCTCTGTTAGTTGGCAAGCCATGCTTGGTCTTTCTAACAGAGCTCACTCCTGGATTACTTGCTTTCAGTGTGAAAATACAAAAAAGTGTCTGCAATTACCTTGGAAAGTACATAGGGAAATCTACAGCTTCTGGGCTCACTGGGAGGTTGGTCTGGACCTGTGATGCTCAGATAAAGGGTGAGCAAATGTCTTGACCTGGACTGATCTTTCTGGAGATCTTCTTTGATTTACAGTGGCCTTTTTTGAACTCCTTACCATAGAACTATGCAACAACAATGGGGTTAAAAGAACTATGAGAGAAGAAGGGACAACCCGCGTTAAATACAGGGTTTCTGTTGACACCCTTTCCACAAGGCACGCACAACTTTGTGTGTCACCACTGTGGGTGTTAGCTGTCACTTGAGCAGTGTCAGTTTAGATTACAAAAAAAGAGATACAAGGAGTGTTAGTACCAATCTTAACTGTTCTAGAACACAGAAAAGGTGACAATATCCAAGTTTGTATGAGACTGCAGCCACACGTACTCAAATCAGATAAGGACTTCCTAAGAAAGGGAAATCATGTGTCATGTCTCATCTATGAAGACTAATAAAAAAAATACTAATCAGAGCAGTTGCAAACTGAGCTCAAAATGCAGGTCGTCACATCAAGCACAACATGATCAAACAGAGTTTATCTCATAATGTAACTTGCTACATTAACAGATGAAGGAACAAAGTCACATGGTTATCCAAATAGATGAGAAAGTAATTTGATAATACAGTATTTACTTAAAAATTAAAACATGACAATACCTCTATTAGTTAGAAGAAATAAACTGCCTAATGGGAAATAGCTATAACAATTTCCTTTAGAAAGCAAACCACACTAAAGTAAAAGATCCCTGATTTCATCTGTTATTAAACATGATTTTGGATTACTCTACTCAGTCCAGGATATGTGAACAATAGGAAAAAGTGCAAGGATTGAAGAACAAGAAACAAAACTATTATCTGCAACTAAAAAGAATTCATAAGAACAGAAGGGTAGCCTGATGACTCAAACCAGCTATATTCCTATGGACTGAAAGCAAATGATTACAAGTATATTTAATAAAATCAATAGTAGCAAAAGCTGTAAAATATTTATTTTTATGTGTATGGGTGTTTTGCCTGCATGCATTTCTGTGTACTACATGTGTGCCTGGTGCTTGTGGAAGCCATAACAGGGAGTCACTGGATCCCCTAGAATTGGTGTTAAAGAGGGTTGTGAGCTACCATGTGGGTGCTGGTAATTGAGCCCAGGCCTCTGGAGGAACAGCCAGTGCTCTTAACTGCTGAGCCATCTTTCTAGCTTTCTTTCTCTTTTCTTTTCTTTTTTTTTTTTGAAGCCAACATTCTTATGGAGAAATGGTGGTAAAATGGATATGGAAAAGAAAAGGAACCAAATACCTAAGGACAACGTGAAGAACTATGAAAGACCAGGGCATTCCCTACCAGATATCAAGACACTGTAACATAGTTGTTACAGTGAAGACTGGACACTAGAGAGGCCAATCGACTACACAAGAGCCAAGAACAGACCCATGCAATTTGACTACCTATAAACTAAAACAAGGAAAATCACTTCTATAAACAAACTATTTGAGACACTTCGGGGGAATGTTTTGGGAAACAAACTATTTGAGACACTTCGGGGGAATGTTTTGGGAAACTACCTTATTTAAAAGTAAAACTGACACTAACAGGTCAAGCCATCCTTAATGCCCAAGAGCAGAAAGACTGCATGAGAGCAGTCTAAGATGGTAGGAAAATATGGACACTGTGTCAGATGTCTAGACTATGTCCTGGCTCTGACGTCCTGGCTCTGACATCTAGTGGTTGTGTAATGTTTTTGTTTTGAGACAGGGTCTTACTGTGGAGTGCAGGATGACCCAGACTCACTATGCAGCCTAGCATGGCCCTGAACTCACAATTCTCCTGCCTCAGCCAGCAGAGTACTGGTATGACAGATGTGTGTCACCATGCCTGGCTGTTGTATGGCTATGAGCAAAACCCTGTTTTAGTTTTCCTACTTGTCAAGTAGAGACAGGTATCTTTCTGTGTTGTGGGGATTAAACAGATTAACTGTAAAGTGCACAGCATAAAGACAATACATTTGCTATTAGAGTTCAATTATCTTTAAGGACTGCCTTCTGGTTTTGCACCAGTGCTGTTACTATAAACTCATGTAACAGTTTACACATTTTTCAATCATTTTTCATCTTTGTCATCTCATTCCACAGTTAGAATACCTATATGGATAGAAAGGAAGGTTCCAGCCCATAGCTTCTACAAGTCATTTTTTCCCCAACTCTGAAAATGAAGGGATAATCTCCAGGGTTCCTTTGGCTCTAAGAATCACTTCTATTTTATAAGAAATTGGAGGCAAAGAGATGTTAACTGACTTGCTTTAGGTCACCAAGAATTACTAGCAGACTTAGGATTAAAACCTAGATCTCCTAAATGAATTTGCTTTACAAAGGTATAATAGTAATTTTCCTAGACTCGCTGTATCTAAATTTCTTCTTGGAATTGTCACTAGACACTTAGGGAGGTAATTCACTCAGGGGTCACCTAGAACATTACTGATACATTCCAATGCCTGGGAGCCCCTCCCTCATTACCAGGGAGGGCGTCAGTAGAGACACATGTCTTTTGGTAAAGCATTAACATGGATGATGGGAATGGGAGCAGTACAGAAGAGAATTACCTGAGCAAGCAGACCTGGTTGGATCTGAAGAGGCTGAGCTCCTGGAGCTTGAGTGACGATGGGAACAGCATTTTCCATCCGCACTGAGTAGCCAGCATGCTTGGAGGGAGAGGCCTGCAGGCCTGTTCAGGACATGGGTGAAGGACAGGAGGGAGATGAATGACTGAAAACTGAAGAGAACCTGCTAGCCACTGCGTGAGCTTTACTGCTCATCTATGAGATGTTTTCCTTTTGGTTTCTAAAAAGTGGTCCCTGTTCCACACAAACACACCCCTTCAAAATTAAATTATGTATGGTTCAAAGCAGGACAATTAAGATGAGGATTTACATGGAGATATAACTGAGTGTCACAGCAGAGGATGCTGGGGACAGAGTGTCAGGCAGGCTCTCTGGATTGCACAGATGGGATCTGAGCAGCAGTGTACATGCTCACATGGGTGCTTTGCAAACACCTGTTCTTGAGCTTTCATGTAAAGTGTGATGAGGTACACAGTCTTCTCTCACTGCTGAGAGTCCACAGAAAAAGAGATCTGGGATCATGGCCAAAGGGGAGGAGGCGCAGCCCAGGGAGGCACTTTTTAGACAGATTTCCATTCTCCACACGAAGTGAGCCTATGCTGGCTGTCAGAGACTGGCAATTTTCTACAGATAACGTTCAGAGAGCATTTCATGCAAGGAAAGCGGGAGCTGACATCAGCATAACAATGGAGCCAGACAATGCGCCTCTTCACAGGCAGCTGGCTAGGGCCTCGGTTTCTGGCAGGTGGTGAGCACAAGGAATGGACTTGGTACCAGAGCACAAGTCGCATTGTTTCTAGGTTGGAGGCAATGGGAGAGCAGCCTCCAAATTCAGTGATTCCAGCACTCAAACAACTGGAAGGCAGAGGGCTCTCTGCCCGCAGGAAGCAGGAGGGTTAGAACCTTAGGGGTGGTCCTGCAAGAACCAGCTCAGCCTTACCTTGGAAGCCAGGGGGACACACGATGAGAGCTTGCTGGAAGGGGTCTGGCCGGGCACAAATCTGGGCTGTTCCTGTCTGCAGGGGCATGCTCCTCTGGGCCACCGCGGCCATGGATGCCGCTGAGGGCTGGTAGAGTGTAGATTGGTAGTTTAGTATGGAGACTTCGGGATTGGCTAAGGAAAGAGTGGCACTGGTGGAGGTGGGACCCTAAAGGAATGATGGGGATTAAACAAAAATAAACAAAATAAAAAATGAGGGAGGAGGTATGCTAGGAGACACAAATCTAAATCAAATAAATGAATTTAAAGGAGAGCTAACATAAACCAAGAAAAAAAAAAAAAAAAGAAGGCAAAAAGAGGGGCAGGGATCCAGCTGACTGCCTCAGAGGAAGGCAGAGGCACCTGCATCCTCACATTTGTGGGACCTCAACAGCTGGGTATTTAGTCTAAAAAACTGTGTGACTGAGGGTCTGGGGATGTATCTCAGTTAGTAGAGTGTTTACCTAGCATGCATGAAACCCCGAGTTCAATGCCTAGCATTGCATAAAAACAGCTATACTAATCTTTGTGTATTTTGTGCTCTCAGCACTCAAGAGGCTGAGGCAGGAGGATCAGAAGCTTAAAGTTATCTACATGAGGCTAGCCTAGGCTACATGAGCTCTTAATCATTCCCACCCCCACCCCCAGGGGGGGAAAAAAACCTAAACAACACAAAGTAAAGTGTTTAATGAAAGTCTGCTTCATCCCAGAAGGCCAGGTTTGGGTTGAGAGACTTTGTACTCCTTGGATTCTACAATGGAGTATGATGATGGGGAGGGTGGGAAAAGCTCGGCCTGCCTGCCTTCTCCTTGTCCCAGCAAGGCTCTACCACCTTGAGGAGCTTTAGATGCACACATATCATGCTGCCAGCCCACAAGCTCTACCTTTGCTCACTTTCCTCTCCTGGTGGATCCAGGTAGTCTATACTTGGGAGGACAAATCAGGAAGAGGCCCCTACAGGCCTGGGTCCCGGATAAATGGGTCTCAGCACGGAAAGCCCATGCACCAGAAGGAAGCCAAGGCAGAGACTCTTGCTCAGACCTAAAGAGTACTGTTTGCAGACACTCTTAGCCCACCCAGGGCATTGCTACTATAAAAGCAGTATATGGAAAACATCTGGATCTGTCTTTTGAAACAGAACTTCCAACAGAAACAAACCTGTGGAGGGAAAGCAAATTCTTTGTTGGGGAGTCTTATATTTCTCTCCTTAGCAAAGAGAGGCAGAGGTTAGCAATGGCTTCAGATTGAACATTGTCTACAAGGAGTTGCACCTCTAGAAGAGAGGTTCTCAATCTGTGGGTCATGATTCCTTTGAGGGTCACATATCAGATATCCTAAATATCTGATATGTTACAATTCATAACACTAGTAAAATTACAGTTATGAAATAACAAGATAATGTTATGGTTGGGGTTCCTCTTACAGCATAAGGATCTGTATTAAAAGGTTGAAGCAGGGGGCCAGAGAGATGGCTCAGCGGTTAAGAGCACTGACTGCTCTTCCAGAGGGCCTGAGTTCAATGCCCAGCAACCACATGGTGGCTCACAACCATCTGTAATGAGATCTGGTGCCCTCTTCTGGTGTGCAGATATACATGGAAGCAGTATGTTGCATACACAATAAATAAATAAATAAATAAATAAATAAATAAATAAATAAATAAAATCCTTAAAAAAAGGTTGAAGCATTAGGAAGGTGAGAATCACTGCTTTAGAGGTTGTAAGAACTAAGGGATAAGGAGGAGGTAGACTTTGAGTAAATACTGGACACACATGTAAGGGGAATTTCTAGTGGAGTTAATGCCAAATTTCATAAAAAGGGCAAAAGTTTTGTTTCCCCCCCCCTTTTTTTTGGTGGTACTGGGGCAATCAAACAAATCCAGAGCCTTGAGTACATGAGCTAAGTCTACTACTGAGCTATATCTTTGGCCCTGCATAGTTGCATATTTCGTTATAGTTAGATTTTGGGCTGAATTTTAGTACAAGACAATACATTTATTTGAAAATGATTATGAATTCCTATTACACTTACTTAGATTTTGAGCTGCATATTTTAAGTGTATATGCATTTTCAGCACTCCACACCAGGCCTCCTGGAAGTATGGTGGGGACATGTGTGCACATGTGGGGGCCAGTGTCTGTGCACTGATGTCCTAACACTCATCTCCAGTTTTTCCCATACCACTGTTTTTCCTGGCAGCTCCATGACCACACTTCCCACTGTCACCTCAGACACCACAAGCTCAGGTCCTGAAGGTCCCCTGCTCGGGGGCTGTGGCACCAGTGTCTTCCCATTTGACTGTGCTGCCCCATCCTCTGAGAGCCACTGTCTCTGGTGCCCACCCAGGATCTGTAAGTCCTTCATTAGTGATGACATTCACTGTACCTCTCTTTCAATTCTTGGGTACAGCATCATTTTCTCTTTCTACTTTAATTTAAAGAAATGTGTATGGGTGTACTGCCTGCATGTATGTCTGCAGCATGCGTGTGCCTAGTGCCCACAGAGGCTAGAAAAGGGCACAGTGTTTCCTGGAACTGGAGTTACAGATGGTTACCAGACACATGTGGTCCTCTGGAAGACACCCAACCTTGGATCGTTCTCGTAGAGACCACTCTGCCCATTAGCACCCTTCTCTACACTTAGGCTCCTGCTCACAAACTCCAGCAATGGCCTCACAAATGTGCTGGATGCATCTTGGCCAGGTACTTTTTTCTTTCTAAAGTCCCTCTGTTACCTTCCTTGATAAATGTTAGCTATCTTTTTCTTCAGAAAAAGGGCATTAGTCTACTTGCTATTTTCACAGAATAGCTTCCTGGGAGCATAGGCTATTCATCTCCTAGGAATCCTTTGGCTCAGGGTTTTCTCTGAGCCTCTGTGTTTTGGGGCCAGCCTGGGCACCCAGGCTCCAAAGTGGAACCTCCCCTAGCAGATTGTGTTGGTCAACTCCCACTGCAGTGTGCTGGGCAGTGTAGTCAGCACCCTGAATGATGTGTCCTTGGGAGAAGGGCCTGGGTTCTACTTGTGGTGGTCCTCTGCTTGTCTGCCTTCCTAGGCCCTCGTGTGTGCAGCCTGTATCTGATCTGTTTTAGCTCATGTTTCACCATGAAGACCATGAACTCCTTGAGAGGAATCTACAAAGATGATCCTGCTATGAGCACCAGTCCCTAGTGTGAGCAGGCATGGTGACATTTTCCCTTAGTTTCCAATGCTGCTATGGATCGGTTGGTAGAAGTGTGTATGAGGGTGAGGGAGATTTTTACTCTGTCCTCCCTGATTCTGACAGAGTGACATCACCTGTCTGTGAGAGGCAGGGAGGACTGCTAATAGCTGTCCTGGCTAACAAAGGCAAATGAGAAGAAAAAGCAAGTTCACTGGCAACCTATCTCGCAAAGCCGGGCCAAGTGATTCCCCCCCCCCCCCCCCAAAGACAGGGTAGCCTGGCTGTGTAGCCTGGCTGTCCTGTAGACCGGTAGACCAGGCTGGCCTCTACCTCCCGAGTGTTGGGATTAAAAGTTGTGTACCACTGTCACCTGGCTGGGGCAAGTGATTGTTGGATACAGCTATAATAAATATTTAAATAGTTTGATATCTGTAAGAACAGGATGTGAGCTTAACCTATAAATCCAGTTAAAACTCTTGGTAGAAGAATATGCCCCTCAAACAAGACACCTTGGAAAAGTTAGTAGTAAAGCAGCTGAGACCAAGGCTTAGGCCAGGAGCACCCACCGGAGGACTCCCTCCCTACTCAGTATGTTACTAGCAGTTTTGTTTTATGGTTTTCTGAGACAGGGTTCATCTGTGTAGCCTTGGCTGTCCTGGAACTCACTTTGTAGACCTGGCTGTCCTTGAACTCATTGAGATCCACCTGCTTCTGCCTCCTGAGTGCTTGCTGGGATTAAAGGTGTGTGCCATCACCACCTGGCTACTAACAGTTTTTGAAAGTAAATAAAAATTATGGTATATTGTATATGGTATATTGACCCAACTTCCTTGAGACATGAACAATTATAGATTAGTGAGCACTTGGGAAAAATCCCAAGTTTACTGGATTTATGTTAAGAGCAACACAGAACTAGTTCTGTGTCCTGTCACTAACATAAAATTGTAGGTGTATTTTGTTGCTTCTAAACATCCAAATGTTTAGAGTGAGCAGAAAAGTTGCAAGGATCTCATGTAAGGACCACAGCACTGGGTCACTAACATGCAAGAGAAGTCTTGCTGTGTTCCAGAAGTAGAGACTCTGACAGCAGACTGCTGGGGTCAAAGGCCAAACCTATCTCCTATGTACTAGCAGGCATCCTTAGGTAAGAAGGTGACACCTACTCCACACGAGTGCTGGAGGACTGAGTGATGCCATGCTGAACAAGGCTGACACAATAATATTTACTGCCAGTGATATGAACATTTGTGACATTATCAGAGGAGGGAAGCGTGCCTCAGTGCTTAGGACTAGGGCACAACCAGAATAACTTGTTTTTCTGATACATTTAATTAGGGCCCAACAATTTTACATTCAGACGATGGAGCGTTGTTCTTAGGATCATGCTTTTCAGTTTTGGTGATATTCTTTGGAATGGATATGCTGCCTGTCCTGCCATAGAAAACATAGAGGTGACCTGCTCTGTTACGGTCAGGGACCTCTAGCCCTCCAGTCTGAAGCCTATGAAGATGTCCATGGAAAGGCTGGGCAGGGATTCACCTGACCTGACACATGACCGGAGGAATCCCTTCCCATGTGCCCTCTTAGATCCTTGGGTAATGGAAGGGGCAGACAGATGGCAGATGGGGACGGGGATTTGAGGTTAGGAGTTAGGATCAGGAGTCTCCTAAGGTAATGAAGGAAACCTCAGTGGCCCTTGTTGAGAAGCCCTAGATGCAAAAGCCTTAACCTCAGGGCTGGCAGGAAAATGAGTTCTTCTCTTTACAGACAGCTTCGAGAACTGATGACACTGAGAGTCTAAGCAGAGGAAGAGCTAATAACTGGAAGTCAAACTAGTAGGGAACAGCAGTGAGTAGGAACAGTGCTGAAAAGCAGGGGCCAGTGACCCATCAGTGACAGGAGGACAGGCCGACTAAGAGTGGACACACACGCAGGGGATGGTATTCCCACATTAGGTTTACACGTTTACGTCTCTTCTCCGAAGTGTGTGTGTGTGTGTGTGTGTGTGTGTGTGTGTGTGCGCGCACGCGCGCATGTGCTTGTGCTCAAGGGAGAATAGCACAGGGCCACCGTTGTCATTACGGATTGATATTAAGACTGACAAGTCTGGGAACACTTCTTTGGGGACTCCTATGATTGGAAGATGGGAGTAACAGATTCTGGAGGCAGGTGAACTAGGATGTAGAGATTCTTCATTCAGTACCTATTTCCTGAGTCTCCTCTGCATTTCAAACATTCTACGTTGCTGAGTCTTCCAGTCTGCAGAAGGATGGGGATTTGTGTGAAGGAAACCTCAATTTCCTGAATCCCTAGGGTAAACTTCTAGGGTTCCAGGGACAGACCCAGGAGCTGGCTTTTGTATGACTTAGAGAATGGACAGGCTTTGCCTCTTCTGAATAAAGACTGTATCGACACAGGGGTGCTGGGAGGGACTCCTGCTCATACTGGTGCTAGAACTTTTTTAGAAGGCTCTGTTCCCACATCTGCTCAGAGGAAAATGGGAAGAGGTGCCATCTCAGGTAGCAGTAGTCAGAAGAGAGAGACCCTTGGCCTCTTAAAAAACTAATCACGGAAGCAAATACTTCAGCTTACAGACCCAAAAGGACAACGCAGGAAAACCTATCGGGTCTGCTGGGGGAAATCTGAGTCCTGATGCCCACCGACAGCCCTGCCCACCTTTCCCTGGTATCTGCCACTCACCTGGTTGTGGACAGTGGTCAGCTGGTTGTTAAAGGTCATGGTCAAGTTAGTAGATGTGCTGGGGGCCACGTGTGTGATGAAAGGTGTTTTGCTCTGGTTCACCGTGTCATACATATTCACCCGGCGCTTGCAAATCTCCATGTTTTGGAAACAAGATTTGACACTGTTCATGCAAAAGGTAGAGGCAGAGACACAAGGGACAAGAAAGAGGGTGAGGTGGGGGAAAGGAGAAAAAACAGTGAGAAAAGGAGAGAATGGTTAATACAGTAAACAAAACAACCATTGCAGCTTTACTTTAGCTTCAAAAATCCTGGCCTTCTCCAAGTCTGCTGCTGGAACTGTCAGCACCGTGTGAGAGCATTCCCCATTGTCTTGTTGCCCTTTCTCCTGTCCTGCATGGGCAGGTTCTCGGTACCACAGATGTGCTTCATTGATTCTTTCTCGAGTCTCACTGCTCAGTCTTAGCGTAGCTCTCACTCAACAAGATGGCTCACCAACCAAGGATATTAAGGAACTGCTACAACCTACTTCCACCTTCCTTAGAGCCAACTTGTCTACCCGCTCCCCCATTCTAATGACCCTAGGCTACTAGCACCATCTAGAGGTCAGTCAAATAATTCTCCCATCCAGGGTCATGAATTTAGGCACTGGAATCTGTCAAGCAATGGAAACAATGACAATAACTAATTTTTACTGAGAGCAGTGGTATGTGTTTGCAATATCCCTTTCAGTCTTACACCATCCACAAGACAGAAATATGATCCCTGTCTCAATTTTATAAACAAAGTCGAAGGTTTAGGACAGATAATTTGCAGTTTACCTATACCCCCCCCCATACACATTCCTAATTTCCTTAATCTTTTTGTTTTGTAATTCTTGTCTAGTTACATGAAGTAGAATTCTCTCTCCCTTTTAAAGGAGTACAGGTACAAGCATGAAGACTTTGGTGGCCATCTACTGTGTTCTACTCAGCTCATACTCTGCTCCTCATACACTGTGCCTCTTTGTTAGGTTCACTTTTCTTCAAGCGCTAATATGCAAGATAAAGTCTCATTCAATCTACAATTTAAAATGGCTATTGCAATAAATGAATATAAACAAGGAACAGTTTTCTACTATTTTAAATTAGTAGAAATTGCTGTATACTACAGGTGTGCTCTATTTTGAACTAAATAGGTGTTAATAGGCTATCCCAGAATATGATTTCCAAGTTAGATACATTCCAAATTTCAGAAATTGAACATAGACATGACCTAGAGATTCCTACTTCTTTCTAAGTTAATGGCTATTCATACTAGCTACTATTCACACTGGGTACTTGATACACAACACATAGTTAACAAGCTGATGGTCGTAGAGAGAAAACATACTTACTGGTAATCAACGCCATGCCCGCCCAGAGCTTCTGGTGAGTACCCACCTAGTCTACTGCTCAGTGCTTTCACATTGAGCAGAAGACAATAAAATGATGCTGGATGCATTCTTTCTGGAACACACATAAACCATCAGTGATTTTGTGATGGCTCAATGTATAATCTCCAGACTCTAGAGTTTTCTCACTGCAGGGTTGAGCTTGACTGTTAGGATGAGACAAGTACTTCTACTTTGGGTTAGTTTATAAGACTGGCTTTTACAAATGTGTACACTAGAACCTGGGTTTCACTTTCACCTGCAAAACCTCACTGTGGAGCAGCTTAGGCCCAGCCCTAAGGGTGGGTAGGTCTGCATGCTGTTTCCACTCTAGAGTTCTTCATGGTCTTCTGGGAACCCACAAAGATTCAGCCCATGCTCAGGCCTAGGGATGGCCTGCTTTTTTTTAGGCTGACTTCTAAGTTCTAAATTGCCACTGCTCCTCCATGAAACTATGGATGCTTCCTTACTGAACACAGACAACAGGGCCCTGCTCATCTAAGTAGAAGTACTTGTAGTACTGCAGTAGACTAGGTAGGCAGTCCCCAGGAGCTGTGGGCAGACATGGTGTTGATTACCAGTGAGTATGTTTTCTGTCTAGGACCATCAGTTTGTTTGTTCACTATGCTATGGAAGAGAACTGATGTATAAGACACACTTCATAGTGGTTGCAGCTCACTTGTTAGGCCAGGAAAGGTTGAGTTCAGCCTGGAGACTCAGTCCAATCTAATTCTGGCCATAGCATTGCTGACTATGGTCTGCAAACATCTACCTCCAGGCTCTTCTCTTTGCAGTTGTCAGTAGTTCTCAGGACCTATGAGAAAGGTAGCTTTCTGGAACAGGCTACTTTCCCTGCAGAAATGCAAGGATTGGAAACCATGCTTTCATGTCCCAGGTACCTCAGGGTTCAGGCTGAGGTAATATAACCTATTTCCCATCCACAAAAGACCCCCTTTCTCTCTCTCTCTCTTTTTCATCAGTCATGGAGATCTTTGCCACCAGTGTTGTCTCCTCTCCAAGCTATTTTCTGACCAACCAGAAATTCTTCAGTAGCCACACTGATAACCTGCCAAACACGTACTACACTTCTGTCTCAGGACCTCAACCTCATCACTCCTTCCTTGGGCTGTCAGACCTGCAACTATTTAAGTCTCAAGCTCAAGCATTGTTTCCTTGGCCTTATTCTCCATCCATCTGGTGCATTTAACTATTATCAGAACTATCTTTAGAGTTGACCAGAGAACACAATTCATTGGGATCTAATGAATTTCCTTTCCCTCAGGTGACCTTCACTAGCTTCCATTTGGGACTATAATTACCATACCACTAGCATCATCAACTTCCTCATCTGTTTGTCTTTTTCTCTTACCAGCCTGGCAGCAGGTCAACCTGGACAAACACAACTGTTTCCTCTATGCCTCTGAGTGGGATGGCGACTTATAACACCTTCCTCCTTATTTCTCTGGTTAGTTTGAAGTCACCTTCTGCTCTAGCTGCCCTTGACCAACTATCTCTATATTTCCTCCTCTCTCTCTTGCAATTTCTCTTTCTTTCTTAACATTCTTTTTTTTTGCATATGTGTATGTGTGTGTATGCTTAAGTTTGTTTGTGTATGTATAGATATGAAAGCCCGGGGTTGACAATATCATACTTTATTCTTTAAAAGATTTATTTATTTACTTTTACTTATATGTATATGTATGTGTATGTGTATGTGTGCATGCATGAATTTATGTGCATCATACGTGTGCCTGAGGAGGCCACAGGGCATTGGACCCACTGGGGCTGGAGTTACAGATGGTTGTGAGGTACCTGATGTGCTGAGAGCTGAGGCCAGGTACTCTGCAAGAGCAGTAAGTGCTCTTAATTGTTGAGCCATCGCTCTTGCTCCCAAGCATCTTTTTTTGTTTTTGTTTTTGTTTTTTGGAGACAGGGTTTCTCTGTGGCTTTGGAGGCTGTCCTGGAACTCTCTTTGTAGACCAGGCTGGTCTCAAATTCACAGAAATCTGTCTGCCTCTGCCTCCCGAGTGCTGGGACTAAAGGCGTGCACCACCACCGCCAGGACTGTATCTTTTTTTTTTTAATTAATTTTTTCATGTGTACAGATGATTAGCTATGTGTTTGTTTGTGCACTATATGTTTGCCTGGTGCCTGAGGAGACCAGAAGAGGGCACTGGATCCCTTGAGACAAAAGTCACAGACAGCTGTGAGCTACCATGTGGGTGCAGGGACTTGAGCCCAGGTCGTGTAGAAAGCAGAAGGGCTGGCTCTTAACCACTGAACTATCTCTTTAGCTCCCCTGAGTAACTTTTTTTACTACCTTCATGTAGTCTAGCTAGCCAGCTTGCCCCTGGGATCCTCTGTCTTCACTCTTGAGCTCTGGGATTATAGGCAGACCACCTGCCATTTATGTGGATTCTGGAATTCTAACCCCAGTCATCACGTCTGTGTGGCTAATGCTTTATCCCGAGCCATCTTTGCACCCACCATCGTCATATCAATGCACGATTTTAAAGCCATCATTCCTCTTGCTCTCAACAGGTGGCTTCGTCTCTATTTCTGAGACAAAAGCTGTCTGACAGGACACCCTCAACTGTCCTCTGCTATCCCGTGCACCTGTGGGCATCCATGTCTCCCTTCTGCCATCTTTATGTGACAGGGCCCACCTCTCTGCTCAGCTAAAGCACCAAGCACTCAGAAGAAACTAGTCACAAGTGTCTTTCTCCTTGAGCCCTCACCTGCTGCCGGATTCTCCCATTAATATTTCTCGTTTCCTCACTCTTTAAAACTTTCCTCTCTCGCTCCCTTTTTACAGCTTCTCTTCTTATAAGGCTGCCATCTATTTCTCTACTCTCGCTCATCTTTCAACCTGCTGAACAAGTTTCTGCTTGGAAATGGCTGCCACTAAGTTACCAACACCCTCCCAGTTGTGAGATCCTACAGCCATTTTTTTTTTTTTCTAGATTACTGATATAGCAGCAGTTAGGTCTATATTTAACACAAATCTAATCAACCATTCAGCTGCTCTTAAGTCTTAATGGGTTACATTGTGCTTTTGATGAGAGACAAAACCCTCCTTGAACATGGCTTGCTCTAGCTCACTTGGCATGTCACCCACTTTCCCTATGTCTAGTGTTTAGCCATGCTGGAGAGCTCACACAGGCAATGCCCTGACTGCTCACCCATCTTCTTCCTCATCCTTCAGGGTTACACTCTTGGGTCTTTTGGCCTGCTGAGTCAGCTTCTTGTTATACTGACTCATCACACCTCATTCCTTTCTTGATAACAGCCATTGTTTTATATCTTCCTCTCTGAAGACTCAGTGGGCAAGTACCCAATCTACTTTGTTACTCACTATACTCCCGCAATTGGTAGAGCCCATAGCAAAACAAAGAAATGGATAAACCCAAACAAACGAGAATAGTTCACTCCAGGACAGTTTTGGGACTAACCTTTGGTACTGATGCTAGATTGCTTTAGAGCATTGTTGTTTTGTCCACTTCCTTTGTGCACTGAGATCCAAGTTCATCTAGCCCCAAGGACTCCCATGTCCCATGTTCCTTCCTTTTTGGTAAACTACAGTCTTAGGCCCAGTCCAGCCCTTACAAGTTTTCTAAGTGCTTTCTTGGAATGCAGACCCCACTTTGCTTGTGTGATACGTCACAGTTACTTTCGACTGTAACAGAACTGGCACAGCAGCTGAAACCAGAGGGCTATAAAGCATTTACTAGCTGGGCCTTCCAAGGATTGTCCCTGGCACGAAGGATCAATTAGGACACTTACTGTGTGCTATGGGGAAAATCAAGCAAGTGTGTCATTGTGACAAAGGGGTGGTTCAGGGTTTCAATGGGAGTGATCCTCTTATCAGCATCTATGGTCAGCATCTTCTTTAATAGGTCAATGAATTCCCGTCGGTCCGCCTTCTCTACCAACATGTCACTCCCTTCCAAATCTGTTGTCATGTTCACCTGGAAGTAAACAGGGACAGGGGAGTAAGAGCCAGATCATACCCTGTAACCTCCTCTGATCCCAGTTTCCAGAGGGTAGATTGCTCCTAAGAGAAGACATAGTCTTGTGTGCTGCTACTGTTCACAAGTCACGGATTCACATACGTACGTATGTATGTATGTATGTATTTATGTATGTACGATGTATACAGTGTTCTGCCTGCATGTATGCCTTCACTGCAGGCCAGAAGAGGGCACCACATCTTATAACCAATGGTTGTGAGCCACCAGGTGGTTGCTGGGAATTGAACTCAGGACCTCTGGAAGAGCAGACAGTGTTCATAACCTCTGGGCCATCTCTCCAGCCCCAAGGTTATGGCTTCTTATACCAAAGGAACAGAATGGCCGAGTCAGTCAGGCACCAGGTAGGGGTGGGAGCAGAAAGAAGCCACCATGGTTGACATCTGCAAATATATCCCAGTGACAAGGCACAAAGCTGCTCCTGTTTTAACTGGCCAAGCAAAATGCAGCTTTTATCACACCTTATTGAAAATAACCACAGGATGAAAGGTTCTGGAGACTGACTGCATAACAGTGTGGATATACTGAACACTCTTGAACTTTATGTTTAAAAAAAGGTAAGATGAGAAACTTTATGCTATATGTGTTTTACTATAATCAAACAACAACAAAGAAATAAACACACAGATAGACACACCCCTCAGAAGTTCTAAGATAAAGCAGTATAAGAAGATAGAAAACGTTTGTTCAACTCTGGAGGGGAAAAGAAGAGCCCAGGTTCCCTCTTCCTTCACCTTCATTACATCAAATCTGGGAGCCTTCCTATGGCTCCCATATTTGGGACCAGAATGATTTCAGTTCCTGTGTTCCCGGTAGTGGACCTGAACACAGGACTTTCCTCCCAACACCAGGCTTCTATGAGCATGGCCTTTAAAAGGCTTGCTTTGTGGTGCTTTCTCTTTTTTCCAAGAGGGGCTCTGGAAAGCAATTTCAGTTTTCACAGAGCATTTAAGCTACTAATCAACTGAGAAGTGTACTTTACTCAGAACCAGGAGTTCTGGTTACACTCATCTTTGCTGAGAGGCGCTAAGTGTTTATTGGACAACAGCTTTATTTCTCACCTTTAAAGGAAACCTCATTCTGAGTTTGGACTAGTTTCTAAATAAAAATACCCAAAGATGTGGAATTATCTCTGATACAAAGGTAAGAAGACATCTGTAGTGAGTGAAAAAGTCTCTGCTTGTGAGCTGACAGTGACTGAGTATAGTGGTCTGAATTGGATTCCCCTAAAAGCTTAAATTCAAGTCCTAGTCTGTGGAAGCTATAAATGTGACCTTGTTTGGAAAGAGGGTCTTTGCAGATAGAATCAAGTTAAGATGAGGCCGTATTGGATTAGGATGGTCCTAAATCCAATAACCAGTGCTTTTATAAGAGAAGAGATGTGACACTGGGCTACTAGCCATGTGGAGGGTTAGGTCGGGATTACAGTGAGGCAGTGCAGGCAGCGGTTCTGAGGCTGTGAGGGCCCAAGAGGAGCCAGGCATAGGGATGGTGTTTACCGGGGCCTCAGACCACAACTATGACAGAATAACATGTATGCTGTCTCAAGCCCTCCAATTCACTCAATCTTGTTACAGAGGCCCAAGGAAACTGGCACACTGACCATGGGCATCAACTCCAATACAGCAATGGGCTGGACTTCTCAGCCCAGCACTGAGTGCCTGCCTAGCACATACAAGGCCCTGGGTTCAGGCCCTTTTACCATCACGGGAGAAAACATCAGTAAGGTTGGCTACTACCTTACAAAGAAACAATGCTTTTTTTTTCTCATTTATTTTACATACCAACCACAGTTTCCCTTCCCCCCTCACCTCCCTTCTAAACATGCCCCCCTTCCCCCATCCAGAAAGGGACAGACCTTCCATGGGAGTCAAAAAGCATAGTGGATCAAGCTCCTCCCCCTGCATCAAGGTTGGGTAAGGCAACCCAGCATGGTGACTGAGTTCCCAAAATCCAGCTCAAGAACCAGGGACAGGTCCTGATCCCACTGCTAGGAGTCCCACAAACAGACCAAACTACACAACTGTTACACACATGCAGAGGGCCTAAGACGGTCCCATGCAGGCTCCCTAGCTGTCAGTCCAGAGTCAGTGAGCTACCATGAACTCAGCTGTCTCTGTGGGTTCCCCTGTCATGACCTTGATACCACCCTCCCCCTCATACAATCCTTCCTCTATTTCTTCAATAGACCTCCCAGAGCTCAGCCAAGTACTTGGCTGTGGATCTCTGAATCTGTTTAATGAAGCTACTTTTTAAGGGGTTGGTTTCATGTACCAAATACGCCCCCCCCACCCCCCACCCCCGTCTGGCCCATATTGTTCAAAAACAAAGCAGTGAGCACAGTAGGGTTGTGAGGCCTTCTACTATGCACTTCTCTTGGGTATCTATCTATCTGCTTGTTTTTTAAGACAGGGTCTCTCTATTTAGCCCTAGCTATCTTGGAACTCACTATGTAGACTAGGCCAGCCTCAAACTCACAAGGATTGAGTGCTGGGATTAAAGACATGTACCACCAAAGCCCGGCCTGCGGGCTCATCCACAGAGCTTACCTGGGCCATATCATCCAAACAGTTGAAAATGTACTTTCTTGCTTCTTTTGACTTAATCCCAGTCTCTGCTTCATGGTCGTCTGGTGTCTATGGGAAAAGGCAAACCTGGTAAGATGGCTTCTTAGACACTGACTCTCATGCACTGGAGTGCCTGCTTTGCCCCAGCGTCTTTTGCTCACTTTGTAGAGAAGGAGACTTTGGTTCTTCTGAAAGCATCCCTTCTCTATCCACACTAGCTAATCTTCCTTCCTACTCTGATGCAGCTACCAAAGATTCTAAAAAGATCATGACAGCCACACACTTACCCTCTGCAGCTTTCCATTAGTTGAAGGTAAGATTTCACTGTGGAAGACCAGAGCCCCTTTTGACATGCTTTAAATTTTTATTTTACTTAACAATCATTCACTAAATGCTCTTCATAAGCATGGTCATTAGGATGACTTCTCTCCCTTCTAATATACAGGAAAACAAGAATAGAAAGTTCTGGGGACACACCAAAGCCCCTGGCCAACAAATGGCAGCTGTTTCCAGGGCCTGTGCTGGGTGCTGCTTTCCCAAAGACATCCATTACACTATTGGCTAGAAACTACTACTGCTGCTTGTCATGGGGTTTTGGACTCATCCATGGATCTAAGGTAATTAATTCTGGCTAAAGACTAGCACACTTGAAGCAGCTCAACCCCTAGGAGCAGCTGAACAAAGAATGAGTTTCCCGGTAAGACACAGAGGTATCCATGCCCTACCTCCAACCTGGGCTCTTCCCCTTCTGCCTGAAGACTTCTCACCCCCACTCTCGTAATTACTTAATGCCAGGTGCTCTGTTCATAGCCTCTGAAAGCCTGCTTAACTTTCAAATCCCAACTTTTTGAAAGTACATATTATCTTTAAACTCTATTAGGATTTGGTTGGGATCCTGTCAAAACCAAACCAAACCCACTAAAACCCAACCTACTGGAAAAAATGAACATACAACATACTTAAAGTCTTTATTACTTTCTTCTTCCCAGGACAAGTATGCTAATTTTAATTGTGAGACACAGATTAAAAGTAAAAGCAAACTATGTTTCCATTAAGGTAAAATCATCAAGAGTTTATGGTATCCAGCAGGGCACTGCTTGGGCTGCTTTCATTGCTTGAGTCTATCCTGGGAAAATCCTGTGCCCTACAGGACCCAGCACAAATGTTTTTTCCTGCCTTGGTCCCTGGCCTAGCTTTTTCTTGGTTCACTTGGGCCCCACATTCTATCTCTAGTTCCCTATATTTTGTCCTCCTGGGGGAGCTTGGGGCATTGGTCCCATTCCCCTGTGGACAGTGAGCTCCAGCTATCTAGCACAAATCAGTCATCAAGGATCAAATCCCAGAAATTCAGCAGCCTTCCCACGGGACACAGCCTCTCAGACAGCAGTAGGCCACATAAACAGGTGTTTTAAACATTCAGATCCAACCACACCTTGTATTCACAACTGCACCCTGCATCCCCATTTTGCTGGCCAAATTAAGAGTTATCAATTTGAAAATATCAAAGCTCATCTTTTCCTTTCCTTCTTCCTTCACTATTGGGCCACCAGCATGGAATAGAGGGAGGGGTGTTTTTCCTACCTTTAGCCTCCACAAAGGATATGGAGAGTCTGTGTCACGGTTGAAAAACCTAGTTGTCTTTGTCCCTGCACTTAATAAATATTCAGCTGGCAAACCCTGTGTTTGTGAAATATACCGAATCTGCAAGAAAAGACAAGAAAAAGGTCAGGGCTTTCCTGTCACTGCACATATGGTACACTGATGGCTCTAGTGGCATTGAGAAAAATGGAATTATTAGTTTTAGAGGGAAAAGAAAAAGAAAAGAGTAAAGAAACACACACAAATGCATGGGGGAGGTATTGGGAGGAAAAGAGGAAGCAAGGCAAGAGAGGCAGTAAGTCAACTCATAAAAATATCATAGTGGCTGGGTGTTAGTGGTACACGCCTTTAATCCCAGCACTCAGGAGACAGAAGCAGGCAGATCTCTGTGAGTTCAAGGCCGCTTGGTCTACAGAACGAGTTCCAGGAAAGGCTCCAAAACAACACAGAGAAACCCTGTCTCAAAAAACAAACCCAAACAACAATAACAAAAAATCATATGTCAGGTTCTAAGTGAAATGGTAATCCAGGGTTTTCTGGATTGAGAATGAAGTCACACAGACCTACCTGATCATATTCAGAAGCTCCTGGATATAATGGCCAGCCCAGGAACAATTCAGCAATGACACATCCAAGGGACCACATGTCAATGGCTTCACAGAATGGCAAACCAAGGATGATCTCAGGGGCCCTGGAGAGGAACAATGGAAAGAGCTATCAGCCATCTAGGGTGCCATGACTGCCTGTGTGGGGTCCGTGGTCTTTGAGAGAGGTCTGCATTGCAATGACCACTCCAACCTTTGGCTTTATCATCTACTTAGAAGAGGATGTAGTTAGCTTGCTAGTGCAGAGTAAGGGCACAACTGACCTACCATGAATCAAGTCTCTGGGCATCACTACAATCATACTCTGACAACAGCAGAAACAGTAGGAAGTTAACTTTCGTAGCTGAACACCCGGAATTCTTTATGGAGAATGCCTGGTTTTTAAGAAGGAATTCTGAAACAGCCTACTTTCAGGCCTACCTAAAAATATCTGCCCCACTTGAAATAAGGCAATGAAGTCCAACATCCGTCCGTTCGTCACAAAGATCTCTGTCTTAGGCATCTGTGTCACAGTCAAAGAAGCACTGCTATTACTTTCCCATCAGTTTCTAAATGGTTAATCTCTGCAAACGCTCTTTAATGCTACAACTATGGAACTTCATTCACGAATAGATCATATTGTCAACTAGAATTCCTTTTTAAACCTAACTAACAGCTCACTCCTGACTTAGGACCTAATGTCACTACAAATGACAGACAAGATCACATACTAGAAATTTCAAAGGATCCCCCCCCCCCACCTCCCACTGTTCCTCAGAGAGGGTAAGGCCTCCCCCAGGAAGTCTACTAAGTCTATCCCATCATCTAGTTGAGGCAGGACCAAGGCACCTCCTCCACCCCCACACCCCTGTGTGACTGAGCAAGGTATCTCTCCATATAGAATGCGTTCCACTAGGTCAGTTTGGGCATTAGAGTTAAATCTTGGACCCACTGCCAGTGGCCTCATATATTGTCCCAGTCACACCATTGTCACCTATATTAAGGGAACTAGTTAGGTCTTAGGCAGGTTCCCCATTTGTCAGACCTGAGTCAGTGATCTCTCGATAGTTCAGGTTGGCCTCATATATTGTCCCAGTCACACCATTGTCACCTATATTAAGGGAACTAGTTAGGTCTTAGGCAGGTTCCCCATTTGTCAGACCTGAGTCAGTGATCTCTCGATAGTTCAGGTCAGATGATTCTGTGGGTTTCCCCATCATGGTCTTGACTCCTTTGTTCATATTATCACTCCTCCCTCACTTCCATTGTACTCCAAGGGCTTGGTCCATTGATTAGTTGTGGATCTATTTCTGCATCTGCTTCCATCTGTTTCTTGAAGAAGGTTCTAGCTGGGGTTGTGGATTGTAAGCTATCTTTTGCTTTATGTCTGGTGTCCACTTATGAGTGAGTACATACTATATTTGTCTTCCTGTTTTTGGGTTATCTCACTCAGAATGTTTTTTTTTTCTAGTTCTGTCCATTTGTGTGAGAATTTTAGGATGTCAATGTTTCTTACCACTGAGTAGTACTCCATTGTGTAAATGTACCACATTTTCTTTGTCCATTTTTTAGTTGAGGGGCATCTAGGCTGTTTCCAAAATGATGGAATTATAAGCACACACTATCATTCCTGGTTTTTGCTGTTTGTTCTTTTGAGACAGGGCTTCTTTGTGTATCCCTGACTGTCCTGGAACTCACAGGGATCCGCCTGCTTCTGTCTGCTGAGTGCTGGGATTAAAGGCGTGCACCACCACCACACTGCTCCTTTCTGGCTTTTATTATGAGAGTCCTGGAGATGAAACTCAGGTAACCAAGGGAGCTATTTCCCCTAGGAAATAGTACTGAAAAACAAAATCCTAAGTGTTTTTCTGCAAAGTTTTGGGTTTTCAGATGTTGTATGCTTCTGTGGTACTCCCATGGCTGTTTTGGGCAGCAATGGAAAGTGCCACAGTTTGGATGTTGAATGCCTCCCAGAGGCCTGTGTATTTATTTAGGGGTTGGTCTCCAGTGTAGCACTACTGGAAGGAGCTAGACCTTCTAATCAGTGGAAACTAGAATAGGAAATCCTTACTTCACTGGGGATGTGCCCTTATAAGAGACTGACTCTTTTTCCCACATGGTATGAAAGGTTTGTTTTGCCATGTACTCCTGCCTGTGTGTGGCTTCAGTCAGTCGTATGCTGAAACTTAGAAAACTGGGAGCCAAAAGAAGCCATCTCCAGGTAAACTGTCTTAGGCATTTCATAATGGTGAGGGAGATCTCACTGACTGGCACAGAGGCATGTCACTGCTAGGGTAAAGAGAGCACTGTCTTGGTGCCTTCTAAAGGGTATTCCTGTCCATGCTCCTTCACTGCTAGAAGAAGCTGCCAGCCCCCGCCCCCACATCCCTTGTGTCTTTTAGTGCAATTGCTAACCATGTGTGTGGCCCCCTGGGGCTGCTCTTGTTCAGTAGCCCACAAGCTGGGGTGTCTGTGACTGTTCCATGACATAAGCCTGCCTCAGTCACACCACCTGCCTAGGTCACCTGTATCCTGGGGCCCCTAGTCCGGGACTCCCAAATTTGTTTCTCAGGAGATGGATGGCAGACTGCCCCTGCAGTACCTTTGGAAATAGTCTGTTTATTTAGGAAACAATTATATCCCTTAGAAAGAGGGATGCCTGAAATGAATCTTAGAGAGAAAAATGAGTGTTACAGGCCGCTTGTGTTCCTGCCTCTGCGTACATGAGGTATGTCCATGAGAGTATCTGCTCAGGCTTTCCTCAGAGCTATAGTCCTGATGCTTGGATGCAGCACATTCTAGGGTCCATTCCCTGAGTTAGGAAAAGGAATGCCTGGCTGCTGGGTGTGGCCTGCATGCTGGCAGCTTCCAACCCATGGACACCCCTCAGTCAGGCCTCTGTTCCCTAGTACTGTGGATGATATAAACATCTGAGCATGCCATGCAGACACTTTGGTGATATTCTCTGGCAAGAAACACCAGATACAGATTTCTGCAACTGCCTATAGGAACAAGGTCTGCGAATGCTGTTCCTTCTCAGTCTACCAGGAAAAGGGAACTGCAGCCACTCATGGTACTATGGTATGTACATACAGCAGAATATTTTCCTTGCTTTGACCATAAAGATTATACACTTAAGCACTGGGCTAGGTGGATGGAAACAAAAAAAAATAGTAATTAGTCCTGTCTATGAAGTACTTTCTAAAGTAGGAAGGCAACACAAACCAAGGGACAAAAGAGTACAAAACATGAGTGATATACACACAGACATGAAAAAGCATGGTACACACTATACCTCAGCAGTGCTTACTTTGGGAAAACAAAACAGAATACAGGGCAAAGTGATGGGGGGGGGTGTCCTTTTGTATATGTGTTTCTCTTATTGGTTGATGAATAAAACACTGTTTGGCCAATAGAGGCAGGAAGTTAGGCGGGGCTAGGAGACGAGGAGAATTATGGGGAAAGTAGGCAGAGAGGGATGCCATGTAGAAATACGTAGATTAGTAGTAATGGGTTAATAATTAAGACAGAGCTAGCCAGTAAGAAGCTCTAGCCATCGGCCAACATTTATAAATTAATATAAGTCTCTGTGTGTGTGCTTATTTCTAGTGGGGTTCAGATGCTCCTACATTCATGAGCCATACTATCAAGATCAGGATAGCCTTTGCATTGTCATATCCATTGGTTGGCACCTCAGCTCCATGACAGCTATGCATAGCCATTCCTAGCTTTCTAGGTGCCACTTTCCCAAATCCAAATTTCTTGCCTGTCTATACCCTTTGCTAGAACATCCTCCTCCTTCATCCAGCTGCTCCATGGTCTCTTATTTCTTTCTATTCATTCCCTAAGTGATTAGCATGGCTTTGTGTTTGCCCTAAATGGCATGCTGGGCTGTGGATACAGCTCAGGGATAGTGAACTTGCCTAGCATGCACAAGGTTCTGCACTTACTCTCCAGTATTACAAAATAAGTATATTGAAATCCTAATTATTTAGAAATGGGGTTGTTGTAATTATTTAAGATGAAGCTATACCATAGAAGGTGGGACCTAATCCAATATGGCTGATGTCCTTATGAGGACGGGGAAATTAGGGCACAGACAGACAAGATAGTGTGGAGACTGCATCTATGCACCACAAACCAAGGAGCCTTGAAACATGAGAAAGAGGAGCTACTTTTCCCAAAGTGGGAGTGGCTGAGGTACAGTGTGTGATGTGCTAGATGCATTTTCATGCTACAGCCAAAAAAAAGTCAGAGAAGGCAGAGAAAGATCCTCTCTTCACTCTCCATAGCTCAGTTAACATCCCGACTTTGGTCTCTGGGCTCCTGAACAGAACAGAGCAGCTGCTGTTTTAAGTCATGTATTTTGTGGTTCTTGTTAACAGCTCAAGGAAACTGACAGAGCAATCATGCTAGCCCTCACAGGTTTAAATTTTACATCTAAATTGGTCTCATTTTGGAACTGTCTTTTCAGCTCCGGGCTCAAGTCTGCCAGCCTGGAACCTCATATGCTACATCTCATAGTCATGACAAAATTCACAGTTGAAAGAGAACTCGTCTCTGTCCTTCCTCTGTCTTCCTCATTCTACTGGACGGATCCACCCCCCACCTAGATGCTTTGCAAAAGATCCAGGACCAATCTCTGATCCCTTTATTGCCTCCTCCACCCAATCCATCCATGCACACACATCCAAAGTCTACCTTAAGTCAGTCCCTATTCTCTCACTACCCTGTCATTGCTCTGGTCCCAGCCACTGCTTCACTTGGGGCTTTCTATCTGTTTTCTTTTCCTCCAAACACCATATGTTTCAAGCCCTCAGAGACTCTTGCAAACTTAGAATATATGAATCTCTCCTGTGGTCCTGGGACTTCCCCCCACCAATTAAGGACCCAGTTTGCCTTCCCACTGTCACTTCAAATCACTCTTCTAGTTTATTAGGCTCTGGTGGCTAGCAGTTTCTTTTCAACTTCCAGAATACCTTAAGCACTTTGTGGGCAGCCTTCAGGTAACATAGTTGCTTCTGCCCTTGCCTCACAGCTCTCAAACAGCTGCCTCCTCCTCACCCTTCCCGTCTCTGCTTGACTGTCACCACCACAGGCAGACCTC